TAGAGTAGAGTAGAGTAGAGTAGAGTAGAGTAGAGTAGAGTAGAGTAGAGTAGAGTAGAATAGAATTCTTTTACTGGCCAAGTGTGAATGGACACACAAGGAATTTGTCTTGGTGCAAATGCTCTCAGTATACATAAAAGGAAAGATACATTCGTCAAGAGTCAAGAATCATCAGGTACAACACTTAAAGATAGTCATAGGGTACAATAAGCAATCAAATCATACTAGGAAACAGTCAATATAGATTGTAAGGATACAAGTGACAAAGTTACAGTCATACAGTCACAAGTGGGAGGGGATGGGTGAAAAGGAGTGATGTGAAGATCAATAGTAATAGTAGTGCAGACTTTGTAAATAGTTTGACAGTGTTGAGGGAATTATTTGTTTATCATAGTGATGGTGTTCGAAAAACACTGTTCTGGTGTCTAGTTGTTCTGGTGTGCAGTGCTCTATAGCATCGTTTTGAGGGTAGGAGTTGAAACAGTTTATGTCTGGGATGTGAGGGGTCCGTAAATATTTTCATAGCCCTCTTTTTAACTCGAGCAGTAGAATAGAATAGGATAGGATAGGATAGGATAGGATAGAATAGAATAGAATTCTTTATTGGTCAAGTGGGATTGGACACACAAAGAATCTGTCTTGGTGCAAATGCTCTCAATGTACATAAAAGAAAAGATACATTATCAAGAGTCAAGAATCATAAGGTACAACACTTAATGATAGTCATAGGGTACAATAAGCAATCAAATCATACTAAGAAACAGTCAATATAAATCGTAAGGATACAAGCGACAAAGTTACAGTCATACAGTCACAAGTGGGAGGGGATGGGTGAAAAGGAGTGATGTGAAGATTAACAGTAAAACAGTCGTGCAGACTTTTTCATCTGCCTGGAACCCGCACTGCATATCGAACATTAATACAATTGAGAGAGTCCAGAGATATTTCATGAGAAGAGTCCTCCACTCTTCTGCTCGCAACAGAATACCTTATATCAACAGACTTGAAATTTTGGGCTTAGACAACTTGGAACTATGCCGCCTTCGGTCTGACCTAAGCGTAGTACATAAAATTATCTGCTACGATGTTCTACCTGTCAGCGACTACTTCAGCTTCAACCACAACAATACAAGAACACGCAATAGATACAAACTCAAGATTAACCGCTCCAAACTCGATTACAGGAAATACGACTTCAGCAACAGAGTTGTCAATGCACTACCTGACTCTATGGTTTTTTTTTCCTCCAAACCCTCAAAACTTTAACCTTAGACTGTCTACTGTTGACCTCACCCCATTCCCAAGAGATCTGTAAGGGGTGTGCATAAGAACACCAATGTGACTACCGTCTCTGTCCTAATGTCCCCCTTTTATTTGTACCCGTTTCATGTACTCATAACCATGTTCCTAATTTTATCTGTTATCTAAAACACGCTTGACAAAACAAATAAATAAAATAAATAATCAAGGAAGAACCAAACAGAAAACAAATATTGGTAGGGCAAGCTACTACATATAAACAGAGACTACCGGTGCCCATACTCACTGGCACCGATGATGTTATCTAGTCAAGTGATGAAATATCTGCCAGAGAACCGGCAAACGCCACCTCTGACTGGCCCCACCTCTATGTATTCTCTGCCCTGCTGAGTCCCAGCTGATTGGCTGGGTCCTCTTTGGTTGCCCTGCACAGGAGGACGGAGCTGGAAAGCAGGTTAGTGGGGTGGGGAGGGAATGGGATTTTGCAGTATCCTTCCACTGCCACACCCACCAAGCCATGCCCACCAAGCCATGCCATGCCCAACCAAGCCATGCCACGCCCAACCAAGCCATGCCCACAGAACTGGTAGTAAAATTTTTGGAATCCCACCATTGGTTGGGATCCCTTGAAGTAGATTTAGCTCATCTGATTGTGTTTGTCTGGTTTAGCTGGGAAGACCAATAGCTACCCTGAAGGACCTGCTTACCTGGTTGGTTCTCCTCCTGATGCTCTGGGAAGGAAGAGCTGTCATAAAGGCCGTCCCTGCTGTCGAAGTATCGGTAGGCATTATCTCCCAGGTGGACCCTCTGGTGCTTGGTCAGGTAGGGCCTCCAGCGGAAGCTCTCCCCGCACTGGAGGCACTTGTACGGCTTCTCCCCGGTGTGGATCCTCAGGTGCTCCGTCAGGGTGGAGCGCCGGTTGAAGCTCCGCCCACACCTGGGGCACTCGTAAGGCTTCTCGCCCGTGTGGATGCGCAGGTGGGCGTTGAGGTGCGTGCTCTGGAAGAACCGCTTCCCGCAGGCCAGGCACTCGAAGGGCTTCTCCCCCGTGTGGGTCCGGCGGTGCTTCACCAACTCGAACTTATACTGGAAGGCTTTCCCACAGTCGTGGCACACGTGCTTCTTCTCCACCTGAACGATCTTGATTTGGCTGATGTCGGTGACGTCATTCCCACCGGGGAGCGGCTCTGATTCAGTCTTTACGGGCCACCTGAGCGGCGGCCCACCTGAGCCTCGGCTGAGCCCACAGATCTCAGGGCTGGGCTTCACCCTGCTGCACGGCTTCGATAAGGCAGAGGCAGTACGCAGAGACTCGGCTTCTGGGGCGCCACTCTCGATGGCACCCCCTGCTGGAGGGGAGGGGAAGAGTAAGGCGAAGACAGAAGCTGATTTAAATGTATTTGTATCACAAGGTTTCTATTCCTACCCCAATGGTTTTGTTTTTCCTTTTATGTATTATGTATTTTATTTCCTTTTATGTATTATGTATTTCCTTTTATGTATCTATATGTATATTTTATCTATTTTGATTGGTTTTCTTTTGTTTTTATATTTCTATTTTGTTTTATTTTTATTTTATTATATTATTTTTATTTATTTTATTTATTTTTATTTATTTATTTTATTTTATTATATTATTTTTTATTTTATTTTATTAGTTTATTTATTTTAGTTTTATTTTATTAGTTTATTTTTTATTTTATTTTATTAGTTTATTTATTTTAGTTTTATTTTATTAGTTTATTATAATATATTTTATTTATTTTATTAGTTTATTATTTATTTTATTTTATTAGTTTATTTATTTTAGTTTTATTTTATTAGTTTATTATAATATATTTTATTTATTTTATTAGTTTATTTTATCATTTTATTTATTAGTTTATTTTATATTTTATTTTATATTATATGGAATTGAATTGAATTTTATACACAAACACACAAATACTGAATGGCACAACCAAGTAGCTGGCATTGTACACTGAGAACTTATGTACCAGAGACAAATTCCTTGTCTGTCCAATCACACTTGGCCAGTAAAGCATTCCATTGTGTAAGGGGACATCTGCCCAGCGTATAGGCCGCTAGATCCTCCCAAATCCAGATGGGAGATTCTATAGGAGGTCACAGAGAATAACAGCGCCAAGATCCTGTGGGACTTCCAGATGCAGATGGACGACCAGATACAAGCCAGTCAACCTGTCATCGGGGCAGGAGACAAGGAACAGAATGACAGAGGTGGTGATAAGATCTAATGGTGTCAAGGGACAGCAACATCAGGGTGAAGGAGCGTAAGAATTGTTGTACCGGGGCCTGAAGGAGGAACTGAAGGAGAGGATGTGGAAAGGAAAAGCCAAGGTGGTCCCAGTAGTGGCAGGAGAAATTGGGGCAGTGACTTCTAAACTGGGAGAGCCAACAGATCCCAGAATAACAGCAGAGCTATGTGTCTAGAAGAGGGCAGTGTTGGGATACCACAGGTGGGATAACAGGAGAACAAACCCCATCAGGACAAGATGCAGCAATCCATCTGCATTTAACAGACAGAGGCCATTCTTTTGAAGACAGCAAAGCCCACATTTTGGACAGAGAGGACCACTGGTTTGAAAGAGGGGTCAAAGACTCCATCTATGTCAAAATTGAAGAGCCCTCTCTCAACAGAGGGGAGGGATATAACATCATCTATCTCCAGTCTGTAACACAGTCCTTTCAAGGCTTCACACCCGTTTGCATCACTCAGGTGACCCTGATAGACACAGATAAACCTCCAGGTGGCCTCAGTGATTCTCTAAAACAGGGGTCCCCAACCACCGGTCCCCGGACCGGTACCGGTCCGTGGATCATTTTTTACCGGGCCGCAAAGCTTGGGCACCGCCATCTTGTTTCGATGGCGCTTCCGGGTTTTCAGTTGGAAAGCGGCGTTTGGGTGCTCGCGCCTTAGTTTCGTCAAAGGGGGGGCGGCTTCGAACGAAGAGCCATCCTGATGGCGGTGGAGTCTCGCGTTACTCAGGTACCGGTCCGTGGAAGAGTAAATAATCGTGAAACCGGTCCCTGGTTCAAAAAAGGTTGGGGGCCACTGCTCTAAAAGAATGAAAATGACCAGCTATCTGCAAGGAGTAGAAATCCTTCCATTCCCCGTCATTCCAGTCAGAGCTGAAGAAGCTTCTTGGATGGGAAGTGAAATGTCTTCAAGAAAAAACCAGAAAGTCCAATTGCCTCTTTAAAAAAAAAAAGCATCTTTGGGAACAACCATGACGTGGATGACTGAGAATCTCCACAGACAGAGAACAGTCGAAGATACCCCGTAGAACCCTCAAACTCTCAAGTCTGACATTGAGGAAAAGATAGACAACCCATAGAGGTGAAAAGGGAACCTGACAATTTATTTTTAATCCAGTAGGGTTTCATATCAGGGTTTCAAATCCCCAGAGCAATGTTTCTCAAACTCAGCTACTTTCAATTGTGAGGATTTCAACCTGGAAAATGAGAAAGGGGAAGTTCTCCAGGGCTCCTTTATGTCGGTGATTTGAAGGTTTGATCTGCAGAGCTCAGCCTGTCAGCTCCCTGGGTTCAAAGGGATGAGTCTTTATTGAAGGTTTATCTCTTTTTACTGAGGACCACAGGAGCTGCAAGAACGGTTGCAGGAACTGGGTATGTCTAATCTGATAAAAAGAAGGACTAGGGGAGGCATGGTAGCAGTGTTCCAATATCTCAGGGGCTGCCACAAAGAAGAGGGAGTCAAACTATTCTCCAAACAGAACCTGAGGGCAGGACAAGAAGCGATGGGTGGAAACCAATCAAGGAGAGAAGCAACTTAGAACTGAGGAGAAATTTCCTGACAGTTAGAACAATTAATCAGTGGAACAACTTGCCTCCAGAAGCTGTGAATGCTCCAACACTGGAAGTTTTAAAGAAGAGATTGGAAGACGCTATTTGTCTGAAATAGTATAGAGCAGTGGTGGCTAACCTTTCTGGGCTCCTGTGCCAAAAATTGTGCGCATGGTTTCACGCTTGCGTGCCACAGCACCCAGAAGGCAATGTGCCCCCCTACGCCCCCTACGCCTGCGCACGCACCCCCCTGCCGCCCCTTTACCTGCACTGCACCTAACAGCTGATTTTAGGCTGGTTTCGGCCTTTTTTGGCCTCCCAAAGGCTTGAGGAAGGCTTCTGCAGGCTTCTGTACGCTTTGTAGGCCGAAAACTATCCCCGTTTCATCACTTCCTGTTTTTCCGAAAATACTGGAAATGACAAAATGGGGCTAGTTTTTGGCCTACAAAGCTTGCAGAAGCCTGCAGAAGCCTTCCTCAAGCCTTTCGGAGGCCGAAAAAGACCTGAAACTGGCCAAAAATCAGCTGTCAGACGCGCACATGCGCAGTGAGGTTAAGTTTGCCTGCAGCTTGCGTGCTGGCACAAATGCCTCTGCATGCCATAGGTTCGCCATCACGGGTATAGAGTTTCTTGTCTGAGCAGGAGGTTGGAGTAGAAGACCTCCAAGGTCCCTTCCAACTCTGTTATTGTACTCTACTCTACTCTACTCTACTCTACTCTTAAGTAATCTGTAAAAGCAGAGAATAAAATCAGACTTGCCCACTAGTCTTCCCAGAGGCTCAGGGCAGGACGAGACATCAAAGATGGCTTCTCTGTTGTTGAGGCCTCTGTAGGCAGCATTGCCCAGGTGGACCCTCTGGTGCTTGGTCAGGTAGGGCCTCCAGCGGAAGCTCTCCCCGCACTGGAGGCACTTGTACGGCTTCTCCCCGGTGTGGATCCTCAGGTGCTCCGTCAGGGTGGAGCGCCGGTTGAAGCTCCGCCCACACCTGGGGCACTCGTAGGGCTTCTCGCCCGTGTGGATGCGCCGGTGGGCACTTAGGTGGGAGCTCTGGATGAAGCGCTTGCCGCAGGCCAGGCACTCGAAGGGCTTCTCCCCCGTGTGGGTCCGCCAGTGGAGCAGGAATTCCGACTTGCAGTGGAACCACCGGTCGCATTCCGGGCACATCAGCTTCTTCCGGCCCACGTGGAACATGGAGTGCTTGGAACTGGCTGCTCTCATGTGCCTGGAAGGCTCCCGCCAGATGTGCCCGGCCTGCAGCTCCCACTGTCTCTGCAGGCCACACCGGGCCTCTGACGCTAAGGAAGGGTTGTCTGGGGGTGCCCTCAGCAAAGCCCATGGGGGATCTTCCGGATCCAAGATTTCAGGTTCTGTGATCTCTTCCTTGATCTCCCTCACGATCACCTCGCTTGCTGGCATAGTGGGAGAAGCCGAAGCAAAGTTGTTTCCTGGGAAAGAGAAAGGAGGATGAGCTAAGGGACAAGTAGGGGAAAAAGTTCTCTCTCTGATTCCAACTCTAGAGTAATTTGGCTCAATAGTGTGTAGTTTTAGGGTACCACCCCTGAATTACAATACACGAAGGGGGTTGGACTAGACGGTGTTAGGAATGATAGTCACCTAACAGCTGGGTTTGCAATATATAAACCAGGATAGTCATTTAATACTGTTGTATCTTTAAGAGAATGTTGTAATTGTGATTGGCTGAGGTTCCTCCAACGGCCATAAGATGGAGCCAGAAACCTGGTTTGTTCTTCTTGCATTTCCCTTTTGTCTGATCGTCATTCTGCTTGGATTGCTGTGAGTCTTGTATCTGTTCGCAAGCTGAACTTTGTTTATGATACTGGTAAAGAAAAAGACTTCATTTTTGGATTATCCCTGGACTGATTGTTTTGAATACTAACTGCTTTCACCGTGTATGATTGCTGGACTTTGTTTACCCGTTTACAGGAAGTAAAACTTACATTTTACTATTCAGTTTATCTGTGTGCTGGTTGTGTGTTATTCATCACCACTCTATGTTTCCCTGAGTGCACTCATTCTCCTAACGGGGAATACATCAACAGATGGCCTACAAGGTCCCTTCCAATTCTGATTATCTGTTATCTGTTATCAGAGACCTTTGATCACATAGCCTTGGCTGCCATCTTGGTTCCCCCCCCCACACACACCTATACACTTTTGTGGCCATCCCTGAACAAATGACAAAGGAGGATAGAGAAACGACAGTCTGATCCGAGGGCTCCTTGGTGTTCTCTGAGCTTGCTTGTTTTCTTGCAGATATTTCATTACCTAAACTAATCGACATCATCAGTGTTAGTAAGGAATGGGGTTTGCTCCCAATTTATATTCTAACAGCTTGCGCTGTCAGTGTTAGTAGGGGTGGCCTTGAAGGTTCTTTGGTTGGGCTGTTTACTGTTAGCTTCTTTGGCAGTTCCTTGATTGGAGTAGTGTTTACTTCTTGATTGTTGGCCTGACGCTTTAGTTCCTTTTTTGTTGGTTGATGATCTCTTTTGCACAGCCTGTAGATGTTGTTTATGTCTATGTGTCTTTTGGGGGCCAATTTGTCAGAGTGCCAATCTTCCAGGGCTTGTCTAAGAGTTTTTGGACTTGGTTTGATCTAGGATGGTTTCAACAGTTTCCCATTTGAAACTATGATTAAGTCTGTCTGTATGTTGTGAAATTAGAGTTTGCATCGTGTCTTCTAACTATTAGTTGGCGTTGATGAATACACAATGGATGAATTCCTGAAAGGTTGGCACTCTGACAAATTGGCCATTGATAGACACATAGACATAAACAATATCTACATACACTGCGAAAGAGACCATCAACAATGGACCACATTGGAGACAAAGAACCAATCAGGAACCAGTTTTTTGGGACTTCTGAGATATGGACCAATCAGAGACCTGCTGGCCAGCTTCATATACAAGAACCTAGTCAGCTCAGATTAGATGTGTACGGGCTGCCAAGCGGCACACCACAAAGCAGCTCAGTTGGCCTCTGAAGAGGCCACCACAGCTGTTGGTAGAACATCAGGACAACAGAAGATCTGACCACGTCCATTTAGCCCCAAAGCTCATCGCGGCTTCACTCTCTTTGTCCCTCACCCTCATAAAGGTTGAGACGGATCTTTTTCTCCTCTGAAGCTGCTTGGGAAGGGATCCATGGATCTTCTCCTTGTTCCAGACGACAGATCAGCTCAGGCTTGGGGATTGCAACAGCTGCATTGCATGCACGCACACACACATAAGCGTACACAAAAGAGGGAGAAAATAAGGATGTCAGTTAAATGCATGGCAGCCCACAACCAAGACACCAAGAGTAGTGAATGTCCCAAAGAGTTAAGAATGTTTAAAGAGGCTGATTTCTAAAAATAATGCAAAACAAAATGTGCTTTGGACAGGGGCTACCAACACAGGAAATGCTTGCCAATTTCAGGCAGTTGTGGTCATCCCACAAATGAAAGGGAATTTTGTATTTTTAAAAAAATGGTTGGAACGATGCTATAGAGCACTGCACACCAGAACAATTAGACACAAGGACAGTTTTTTCCTGAACGCCATCACTCTGCTAAACAAATAATTCCCTCAAAGCTGTCCAACTATTTACAAAGTCTGCATTACTATTACTGTTAATCTTCTCATCACTCCTTATCACCCATCCCCTCCCACTTGTGACTGTACGGCTGTAACTTTGTCACTTGTATCCTTACAGAGAAGAGCAACAGGATGATTAGGGGACTGGAGACTAAAACATGAAGAACGGTTGCAGGAACTGGGCTTGGCTAGTCTAGTGAAGAGAAGGACCAGGGTAGACATGATAACAATCTTCCAATATTTGAGGGGCTGCCACAGGGAGGAAGGGGTCAAGCTATTTTCTAAAGCACCTGAAGGCCAGACAAGGAATAATGGATGGAAACTGAACATGGAGAGATTCAACCTGGAAATAAGGAGAAACTTTCTGACAGTGAGAACTATCAACCAACGGAACAGCTTTGCCCTCGGAAGTTGTGGGAGCGCCATAACTTGAGACTTTCAAGAAGAAATTGGACTGCCATTTGTCAGAAATGCTGTAGGGTCTACTCCTTGGGCAGGGGGTTGGACTAGATGACCTACAAGGTTCCTTCCAACTCTGATTATCTGTTATTTGTTTATGATTTATATGGACTATTTCCTAGTATGATTTGATTGCTTGTTATACCCTAAGACTATTATTAAGTGTTGTACCTTATGATTCTTGACTCTTGACGAATGTATCTTTCCTTTTATGTACACTGAGAGCTTTTGCACCAAGACAAATTCCTTGTGTGTCCAATCCCACTTGGCCAATAAAGAATTCTACTCTATCTATTGAGGAACCTCAAGCTCAAGTTATAATCATTCATTTAGGGAACATTTAAAGTTAAAACGGCACTGAAAAAAGTGACTTGTGACGTTTTTTCACACTTAACAACTGTTGCAGCATCCCCACGGTCAAAATTCAAATGCTTGGCAACTGACTTGGCAATTGATGATGGTTGCAGTGTCTTGGGAGTCATGTGGTGGCTTTTGGGGACCTTCTGAAAAGCAAATTCAATGGGGAAAGCCAGATTCACTTAACAACCGTGTTACTAACTTAACAGCTGCAGTGACTCACTCAACAACTGAAGCAAGAAAGGTTATAAAACGGGGCAAAAGGCACTCAGACAACTAACTTGTTTAGCAACTGAAATGCTTGGCTCAGTTGTGGTCATACATCAAGGACTACCTATATTGAATTTTTTAAAATCCCTTTTAGAATAGGAGACCTTTTAAAAACCTCAATCTCTCTCTCTTTCTCATTGTCATCACCCAATCTCCAAGTGACAAATGCATCTTTCTTCCTCCTATTTTCCTGCCAACAACAACCCTGTGAGGTTGAGCTGAAAGAGAATGACTGGGCTAACGTCACTCTGCAGGCTTGCATGCTTAAGGGAGGCCTACAAGTCTCAGGAAATGATCAGATAAGAGACAGCACAGTCCACAGGTGCAGAGTCAATCAATCAGAATAGAGCTGGAAGGGACCCTGGAGGTCTTCTAGTCCAGACCCCTGGGAGACCCTATACCAGTGGTGGCTAACCTTTTTGGGCTCCCGTGCCGATAATTGCGCGCCGCTTGCCTGCTTGTGCTCGCGTGCCATCACCCAAAAGGCAATGCGTGCAGGGCCTCCCATGACTCCTGTGCACTCACCGGCAACCCGCGTGACCCGCGCTGCTCGCTTCTGCGTATGCAACCCCCCACGTGCGCATTTCTGTGCATTGGTGTCTCCTGCGCACCTCTGTGCATGCAGGCCAGATACCCAACAATTAGCTGTCGGGCGCGCGGCACACGCCCATGCGCAACAGACCTTTTCTGGGCGAGTGCTCGCATGCTGGCGGTAACAGCTCTGCGTGCCACTTCCGGCATGCATGCCATAGGTTCGCCACCAGAGCCCTATACCATTTCAGACAAGTGGCTGCCCCGTCTCTTCTTAAAAACCTCCAGTGATGAAGCAGCCACAACTTCTGAAGGTAAAGCTGTTCCACTGGTTAATTGTTCTCACTGTTTGGAAATTGCTCCTTAATTCCAGGTTGCTTCTCTTCCTAATTAATTTCCAGCCATTGTTTCTTGTCCTGCCCTCTGGTGCTTTGGAAAATAAGTTGACCCCCTCCTCTTGGTGGGCAGCCTCTCAAATGCCAGAATACTGTTATTATGTTCCCCCCAGTCCTTTTTTTTCTCTAGACTCTACACTTGGCCAATAAAGTATTCTATTTCTATTCTATTCTACTAGCCAAACCCAAATTCTTCATATGTTTTAGTCTCCAGGCCCTTAATCATCTTAGTTGCTCTGCTCTGCACTTTGTCCAAAGCTTCAACATCTTTTTTGTGACATGGTCACCAAACCTGGATGCCGTATTCCAGCTGTGGCCTTACTAAGGCTTTTTAAAGTGGTAGTGGGCGACTTAAGACTACCTATACAAGTACAGCTGGCAGGGAGATTGCTTCACACACATCATTTTGCTGCAGTTCCCATTTTGCGCCCCACTAAATGGATTGGGACAGGACTGGGCTGCTGGGGGTTCGGGAGAGCCCACGAGTCTGCGCAGTTCGGAGAACCCCCAAATCCCACTCCTCGCTGGCCCCGCCCACCCCTCCCAGGTGTCCCCACAATGGCCCGTTTTGGATGCAAGTTAAGTGCAGGGCGTGTGTGGAGACTTGAGGAGGGCGAAAAACGGGCCTCCCGGAAGTTCGGCAAAGTCGGAAATGGGCCCTTTTCTGGCTTCCAGAGAGCCTCCGGAGTCTGGGGAGGCTGTTTTCACCCTCCTGGAGGCTCAAGAAATGCCTCAGGAGCCTGGGGAGGGCAAAAACGCCGCCCCCCCATGGTTCAGGAGACCAACTAGGCCACGGCCACCATGGCCACGCCCACCCAGAAAGCGGGCAGAGAACCCGTTGCTAAAATTTTTGAAGGCCGCTCCTGGATTAGGGAGGGAATTTTTTACCCAGTGAAGCCACCGTCTCGTAGTTTTCTTGCATGACATCCCAATACAGGTCTCTCTGCTCTGCGTCCAGGAGTGTCCACTCTACCTCTGTAAAGTACACAGCTACCTCTTCAAATGAGAACGGCGGTGCCTGCAAGGAGGACAGTAAAGATTGGGGCCACGGTTTCCCTTGGGAGCTTCATTTTATTAAGCGCGACATATTTCGGTTCCCCCCCCCCCCCCCCCCCCAACCCATCTGCTACCTGAAAAGGTTCCGTGGTCACCATCTCTGTCCCTCCCGGAGGAGGGAAGGTTCCAAAGACAAACACACACATCATTTTGCCAAATCTGTCAGGGAGAAAAGGGGAGGTCAGGTGGGATGCCGTGGTTGAGGGGGTGCTATTCTTTGAAAAAAACCAGTTGCTCTCTTCGCTAAAGACCATCTGATTCAAACAAGGCTTGGCCCGCCATCCTTTAGACTCCTATTTCAATTACAGGGAGGAAAAAAAAAGTCTTCAACCAGGGTTAAGGTTTCCTCATGGAGAAGTTGGTGGGAAAAATGTCAGAAATCAGAAAGCAGCCGGGATAAACTCTCTGTCAGGGTTCTAGCAGTTACCCCAATTAAATCATGAGTCTCGAGCCAAACTTCCAAAACTTCAAAAGGATTTACTGGGAGTTAACATGTCTGGCACTACCTGGGTGTAACCGACTCTGAGACACATAATTCATTGTCACCCTTGACCCTGGTTTCTGCACCCCCACCCCCTGGGTGTATCATAATTCATATTCTCCAATGGGACACATCCATAGCCAAGAGCCATCAATCATGTTCTCCAGTTGGAATTTTGCACTCCAGAAACTTCAGTCACCTAGTTACTATCTTTGAAAAGTATTTATGGAATGCACTTTCGATTTCCAAGCAAACCCCTTTCCCCCTCCCTTTCTGTTGGCAACTCTAAAAAGACTATAGAATTGTGGAACATAAACTATACGTTAATAACAGCCTCGGCATATAAAGAAAATCTATACAAAATGTTTTACCAGTGGCGTTTAGCCCCGGCAAGACTGGCCAAAATATACTCAAATACTAGTCCCAAATGTTGGAAATGCCAGCAAGTTGATGGTATCTTCTACCACATGTGGTGGTTATGCCCCGAGACCAGGACCTATTGGACCCAAATTAAAGATTGGATACAGGAAATTATAGGATATAAACTTGAACTCAAACCAGAATTCTTCTTATTGGGAATAATTGGAGATCGTTAGCCAAAAAAGATCAAGTACATTATTTTACATATACTGACTGCAGCCAGGATAGCGTATGCACAAATGTGGAAAAGACCTACAATTCCAAAAGAAGACCTAGTTCTACAAAAAATTATAGAATGTGCAGAAATGGACATGCTTACCCTAAAAATGAAAGAAAAGGGGGATTCCGATTATTACTCGATTTGGCATAAGTGGTACGAATGGTTAGAAAATAGAGATAAGAAAGAATAAGTGAAGATTAACTAGAAGAGACCTTCAAAGAGTGGTGCGTAGATATGTAAATATGTAAAATATACAAATAGATAAATCAGTATAGACAGAGATAAGTTATTGATTGATATGTGTAAAATACTGTAGAAACTATAAAATAAGAATATGTGTCAAACTTCTGTGGAAACCGAGAATATGGTTTGTATTGGTGGAAAATGCAATAAAAATTAAATTTAAAAATAAAATAAAATAAATAAATAAATAAAATAAAATAATAAAAAATAAAAAGACCATGGAAATATTTTATGAGTTGACACTCCCTTCCATTTTACAAAATTAGGAATGGGACACTGGGATGAAGAACAGGTAGTCCTTCACTTACAGCACTTCGTTCAGTGACCATTTGAAGTTACAACGGCATTGAAGAAAGTGACTTATGACCGTTTTTCGCAGTTAAGACCGTTGCAGCATCCCCATGGTCATGCAATCAAAATTCAGATGCTTGGCAACTGCCTCATACTTATGACGATTGTAGTGTCCTAGGGCCATGGGATCACTGTTTGTGACCTTCTGACAAGCAAAGTCAATGGGGAAGCCAGATTCACTTAACAACTTGTGTTACTAACTTAACAACTTGCAGTGATTCACTGAACAAAGTTTGTAAAATGGGGAAAAACTCATTTAACAAATGTCACGCTTAACAACATAAATTTTGGCTCAATTGTGGTCGTAAGTCAAGGACTTCTTGTGTATCTAGAGCAGGGGTCTGCAACCTTAAACTCTCAAAGAGCCATTTAGATCAGTTTCCCACAGAAAATACCAGGAGTCTCAAAACCTGAGTGGCCGTAGCCAACTCAACATCACTCTCACCCAGTCACATGACAGCCCCCCCTCCGGCCTATCCAAGTTTGTGGCTCCCGGTGTTTTCTGTGGGTAATGGGTCTTTCTCTCTCCGTCCCTCCCTCATTTCTGTTTTTTGTGTTTTACCTTCTCAGGCCAGGGGAGGAGTGACTGGGAGGGGAGAGAGAGAGGGGTGTGGCCAGCCAGTGGTGGGATCACCTAACAGGGAGCCACAGCAGAGGGCCCATGCGGCTCCAGAGCCGTGGGTTGCTGACACCCGACCTAGAGCCATATCAAGGGTAGGGTAATGGCAGCCTTCTAAATCAAGGGTCTCCAAACTTGGCCATTTTATGCCTGGAGGACTTCAACTCCCAGAATTCCCCAGCCAGCTGGCTAGGGAATTCTGGGAGTTGAAGTCCTCCAGGCTTAAAGTGGCCAAGGTTGGAGACCCCCTGTTCTAAATCAATGTTTCACAAACTTGGCAACTTTAAGATAAGTGGACTTTAACTCTCAGAATTTTGTATTTGCATAATTTTTATTTATGTATTTCTGTTATCATATTTATATAGTATATATTGGAGGCGGTTTGAGAGCTGTATGAAACAAAATTTCATTTTAATGTATGCTGATTAGTGCACATTTCAAAGTGACAATAAAGTTTCTATCCCTCCATTCCAATCCCAATCCCATTCCTAATCTGATCTAATCTGGCAATTAATCAGTGGAACAACTTGCCTCCGGAAGATGTGAACGCTCCAAACTCTGGAAGTTTTTAAGAAGAGATTGGATAACTGTTTGTCTGAAATGGTATAGGGCAGTGGTGGGATTCAAAAATTTTTTACAACTGGTTCTGTGGGTGTGACTTGGTGGGCGTGGCAGGGGAAGGATACTGTAAACTTTCCAGTCAGAGGTGGTATTTGCCGGTTCTCCAAACTACTCAAAATTTCCGCTACCGGTTCTCCAGAACTGGTCAGAACCTGCTGAATATACCACCTCTGGTATAGGGTTTCCTGCCAAAGCAGGGGGTTGGACTAGAAGACCTCCAAAGTCCCTTCCAACTCACCTAGTATGTAAGATGGCTTCCACATTAACTTTGCTTGTCAAAAGGTCGCAAAAGGGAATCACATGACCCCAGGGATACTGCAACTGTCATAGATAGGAGCCAGTTGCAAAGCATCTGGATTTTAATTTTAATTTTAATGGGGAGGCTGCAACGGTTATAAGTGTGGAAAAAAGGTTGTTAAGTCACTTTTTTCAGTCACGTTGTAAGGACTATCTGCATAAGATGAACCTCAGGGGTATCTTTCTCTGGCTCAGCAACTTAAGTTGTGTGAACTCCCAGAATTCCCCAGCCAATTGTTGCTCCTCCAGAACTCTCCCCTGGGAGGAAGGATGTTTTAACCCTCCAACCTGCTATTGTTTATTTTATTTTATTTTATTTTATTTTAAATCTATCCTTTTCTTGGAAAAAGCAGGTGGGAAAGAGAGATGCATGCAACGGAAGCAGGGCCGTCGGTTACCTTCTGCAGCAGCTCGGACGCCTCTTTTCCGCTTCCCTCAAGGATGGAGGATGCCTCGGCTGGCTGGCTGGAGGGGAACAATCCTAAGATCTCAGAGTTGGAGGGTGACTCAGAGGTCTTCTAGTCCAACCCCCCCCGTGCTCCAATTCGAAGGGAAGGGATCGCAATTTGAACCTCCCACCCGCCACCCCCGTCGCCAAACCCCGTCTTTGCTCGGCCGTTTGCTTCACACCAGGCGCCGAAGCCTCCCCCGAAGGCGCGGGCTCTTCGGCTCCATAGACCGGATCTCGGAGCCTCGGCCTCGAGGAAGACCAGCCCCTCCGAGGTCGCCGAGCGAGGGAGAAGGAAGAGAGGCGGAAAAGAGGAGCTTCGTTCGGGAGGCCTCGGCCAGCCCGAGAAACCGGAGCCATCTGCTGGCCGCGCCGGCTTCCCGAGAGGGAGAAGCTACCGGCGGGCGCAGGGTGGGAAGCCCTTTACGCGCGCTCCAAAGTGGAGAGAGAGAGGGATCCCCAAGCCCAGCATCCCCAGCCAGCTGGCCGATCGGAGATGATGGGAGTTGTGGCTGAGCTGATTACTTGCACTCCCCCCCCCCCAAGTCTCAACATCTTTTTTTCTAAAATTCCAGGCACGGTCTTATTCCCAGAATACTCCAGTCAGCTAACTTTAGGTTGGGCGTGGGGGGAAACGGTTGAAGTCCCCCAACTCAAAAGTTGCCAAGGTTGAGAAATGTGTAAATGTACTCACAAAATTCACAAATCGCAAGGAGCTGCCCATGTCAAAATGTGTCCTGCAATGCTCATTCCCCGCCAGCCCGCCCGTCCTTCAGAGCCACAATCTCGAAAGACCACAGCCGGATAAATAGGAGAAATAAATAAATGATGTTTTTTTTTTAAAAAAAACAATAAGCTAAGGAGAACTAAGGAGAAATGTCCTGACAGAATAATTAATCAGTGGAACAACTTGCCTCCAGAAGTTGTGAATTCTCCAGTACTGGAAGTTTTTAAGAAGGTTGGACATCCATTTGAAATGGTACATAGGGTTTCCTGCCTCAGCAGAGGGTTGGACTAGATTCTATTCTATTCTATTCTTATTCCTAGTCCTTATTCCATTCCTATTCTATTTCTATTGTATTCCTATTCCTAGTCCTTATTCTATTCCTATTCCTATTCTATTTCTATTCTATTCCCATTCTATTCTATTCTATTCTATTCTATTCTATTCTATTCTATTCCTATTCTATTCCTATTCCTTATTCTAT